ATTTTCTCGTTGAGATTTCAAGAAAATGGGAAGAGACAATGAAAATCGATAGAGACGACGGTAACAGACGAACCGTCTAAATATACGCATGTTTCCCTAAATATATCGTGTCTGTGTTTTAAATAACACCGGAGGCAGTTGAACGACAACTATCTATTCTTAACGTAAAACACATCAAAATGCAATTTTTAATCTTACCGCTGTTAATACCAGGCGCGTTTTGCATTTCAAGTATAGCTTGCATAAATCTACGCGAAATATTGGAAATTAATGTAAACGAACAGTAAAAGTAACGTAAAACTGCCAGGAAGTGTCAGTCTTTTTTTAATTTTCTCTAGATTCCGATTATTGCAATAAAATGCTGGATCATCTGGGAATTTTTTCTTGAAAAAATGTCCAATTTACGCCCTAAACCCGCATTTCTGGCGAAAATTCACGTTTTAAACGCAACCCAATCAAACCCAGCAGTAGGACTTTTAGGAGTATTTCTTGGCAAAATTTGTCCCAACTGTGCGCTCTATTCGTGATATTCGAAGAACGCAAACTGCTGCAAGAAATCGATCAGCAATTGGAATTAAAGGGACTCGATGTTGGGACCAAATCAATAAGCCACAGGTCGGGAAATTATGGAGGCTCGTAACAATTTTTTGAAGAAGAAACCATGAGTATGAGACAAGATAATTAAAGAAATTATCACCGACTTGTAAAATGAGCTGGACCGAATACTCATCAGTCCCCAACTCTAAAAACATCGTTTTTCAAAGTTTAAGCAGCAAAATACCCTTCATTAGTAAGGTTTTGCTTACTTCTGCTCAAACGGCAAACTTTCGCCTTAATTTCAGGAAATTTCTTCTTGACTCAGACTCAAATTCGTCTATGATGTTTGATCTTAAAATAATGCCAACAAACATTTCCTGCTAAAAATGCGATTTTGAACAAAAAGTGCGGGTTTAGTGTGGGCACTTTATAATTAATAATTCAGTTATTGCATCATCAGTTTCTTTCATAAAAGACAGGGTGGTTCATTTAAAGTTATTGCCAGTCAAAGCTTGTGCTTTATACTGTATTTTGAGACACTTTTCGCGCTTGAAAATTTTGTAAGAACCACCTTTGTAGTCCATTTACTCTGCATTTATCAGCGCCAGTTAAAACGTTCAAATGCCATTCTGAGAAAACTTCCAGCGAACTTTCTAAGGCCAATGAATTATCGGGATCTTTTCCACCCAATCTATCACCCCATCTGTTTCCCACTTCAGCCCGAAGCGAGAGCATAAGCCGTTTTGTGTTCATAATGAACAATCACGTTCCTCCTTCGTTCATGGGCTCGGAAAATGCATGCGTTAAATTCCCATTAATTTCCTCCAAAATTCAAAAAATGCCAGAGATAAAATCCGACCCAAACAACCATCCTGTTGAAGCAAAAACTGTTCACTTACCAATGCTGATGACATAGAGGCCAAACAAAAAAAAGAGCAATGAGAACTTTCCATGCATTTCTCGGTCAAATGTGGCACATTACATTATTAATCGAGCTTTTACACCGTTTGTATTTTTTCGGGGGGCAACAGCAGCAAAAGAAGTCTCTGAAAGGGATTGATTGATATTTTCGATGAACGGCAGAAGAACGAAAAATTCTGGAGCGCGGGGCGTGAAGCTAACAGTCAGAGCGTCGCGACGCTTCTGATTTTGGATGCATCGGCGTCGTTTGTGAGATAGAGGAGACTGGAACAGGACCGAAACAGGACGTTTCATTATTGACCTTCCGTGCAGTGCACATGACGATTTTTCCAAACGAATTCTTGGCAAAGTTTTGTCGTGAAAAACAGCCGAAATGTTTTCCCTGGAAGGCTCAAGCTGACCTGGAGCGGAGCGAAATACCTGCAGGTCAGAAAAGATTGATCGAGTCTACTTCGCTTTAGCCGGTTTTCTAAGGTGGAAAAGCCCTCCCGATGGCTCAATTGGAGCGACGCTTCGGTCCGAAGGCCCGAACATGGGGAGAATGAAAAAATTGGCAACGAGACAGGTTCAGTTTCCTGCTGAGGTTTTATTATAATTCAGTAAACTTAAAAAGTATCACATGAGAATTTCTGGTAAATCCCTCTAAATATTAGAGCTGACTACTTGGCCGCCAGCTTCAGTTGGCGCTCAATGTCTTTGATGTAATTATCGGGAACATTGTGCTCTCTGGAAAAAATGCAAGGATTCAATAGGCGAACCATTCTTCTGCATACACTCACTTCAGCTTTTCAATCTTCTGCTTCAAATAATCCTCCACGCTTTTATCCTTCAGCACAAACTCCATTCTTTGGGCTTTGCCGTCCTCGAACCGCTCCTGCTGCCAATTGATCCTCTCCCGTTCTTTCTCATTGATCTGCCTGAGCAGCTCCTTTCGATGCTGGGCGATTTCGTCTTTTTTCTTCGCCAGCTTTTCCAAGTCCTTCTGGTGCAGTTCGTGTTGCACTTTCGCCACCTAAATTCACCCAGGCACATCAGCAAGCACCTGATAATGGGAATTTTTACCTTTTTAAAGTCTTCCTCATCCCGAGCCAGTGCCCTGGCCTGGGTGTTTCGAATATCCTCAATCTGTTTCGATCTGGCTTCGTGCAGTTCGATGACCATTTTCTGCTTTTTCAGGGCGGCTTGCTTTTCCTGCTCTCGCCATTCTCGTTCTTTCTGAAACAGCAATGAGTTTCAATTGAGTAGTAGCGGGGACTGAGTTATAACTGCATTTAGGAATGTTTTCCGGGCTTTGGAGCCGTGGTCTATGGGAATTTCTTCCTGACGTTTCGTCCACAACTGCGCTGGACATTATCAAAGGCGATGAGGCAGTGGGCGAAGTGATCTCCCGTGCTTTCCGACTAAGACTGGTTCAACTACTGGATCCCCTGTCGTATTTATGCGGCCACAGGGGATCCAGTAGTT